TTCAATGACGTCTTACGAAAAATCAAAGGAAAGAAACTCTTCTTTTTGCTCGAACCTGATAGCATCTGATTGCGCCCAAAACTCTTATAAAATATGTCGTGGAAGTAGTCAGCTGAATCCTCTGATGCTTGAATTCAGCATGTGAAGAGCAACCTATACTGAACAACCTCAGCTCTGGAGTTTAACCTATGTAAGTCAAGAGGAGGAAAGGCTTTGTCTCGAATGCTGGAGTCCATCTTGTTGGAGAGGGTAGCCTCTGGTGTCAGCAGACAACATTTGAAGAGAAGGAAGCAATGCCTGGCGATTGCTTTTAAAGACTGGAGCTGCCTGTGGGTTTACCTCAGGCCTCCTCCAATGAGGATAGAGAATTCAGACAGACCCCCCCCCCCCTTTTTACACCTTTTTGTTGGTTTCTGTTGGGGGGTTGCTGGGCTAAGACCCCTTTGTTTAGTTCCCTCCAAAATTCTCTAGTCAGGCTTTAGAACTGTGATACAGGCCTGAGTCCTTTGTCCCACTCACATGGCTGAGGCCCAACAAATGTGTAGGTGTGACATGCAGTGTAAAAGCACTTTGAGTAGTCGACAGGCAGTGGTCGTTGGAAAGGTGTGACAGAGTGTGTGTACTCTGATGAAGCATATGAAGAGGTAGAACAGGGACTCCCTGCTGTTATTCCCTAGATCTGGTCCAATCAGAGAACTGAGTCCAGAACCCCCCCAACACTTCACACCCAGGTGTGAGGTGTTGCAGAGCATGCTGGGAATCAGTGTTTCTGCAGGGCATGCTGGGAATCAGTGTTTCCTGGAGGGCCATTGTTTATTTCCCTTTTCAAAGTACTCCACCCAGGCTTCTGTATTGGCTACAGGCCGGACCTTTGTTTCAACACATGGAGATCCCAACAACATTCACACCCTGATGGCAGTGGTTGCTATGTAAAGTGATCACAGAAGTAACTAATCCCATACACATCCATACGCAGCCGCCGAAGTAGCGGGAGCAATTCGGCCGATGGATGGATGACTGGATGAATGGACCAAAAGATTAATGTGTGTATGGATGTATAGATGACTGGATGGATGGACCGAAGGACTGATGGGTGGATGGATGTATAGATGACCGGATGGATGGACCGAAGGACTGATGGGTGGATGGATGTATAGATGACTGGATGGATGGACCGAAGGATTAATATGTGGATGGATGTATAGATGACAGGATGGATGGACCAATGGATGAATGGGTGCATGGATGTATGGATGTACGGATGTAAAGATGACTGGATGGATGAACCAATGGATGAATGTGTGGATGGATGTAAAGATGACTGGATCGATGGACTGAAGGATTAATTTGTGGATGGATGTATAGATGACTGGATGGATGGACCAATGGATTGATGGGTGGATGGATGTATGGATGTAAAGATGTATAGATGACTGGATTGATGGACCAATGGATTGATGGGTGGATGGATGTATGGATGTAAAGATGTATAGATGACTGGATTGATGGACCAATGGATTGATGGGTGGATGGATGTATGGATGACTGGATGGATGGACAAATGGATTGATGGGTGGATGGATGTAAAGATGTATAGATGAATGGATTGATGGACCAATGGATTAATGGGTGGATGGATGTATGGATGTAAAGATGACTGGATGGATGGACCAATGGATTGATGGGTGGATGGATGTAAATATGTCTAGATGACTGGATGGATGGACCAATGGATTGATGGGTGGATGGATGTATGGCTGTAAAGATGACTGGATGGATGGCACTCTTTAATAAAACTTTATAAAACAGGAGTTTGGCTGGAAGTGGAAAAAATAAGACAAAGACAAAGTTTTTTGTGTTTTTGTTTTTTCTTCTTTCTCACCAGATCATTTTCATCTTTGTTCAACATTGACATGAAAACATTTTAACAGTTTGATTTGTTCACCTAAGTAACAGCGAGTGTAGTGTAATTCTTCTGCTTCACTTGTAAGCTCAGATGAGTTTGTGCCAGCTGTGCTTGTTAAAATACCATGACACTATTCAAACAGGGCCAATTTCAGAGAGAGCTCACACACACACACACACACACACACACACGTGTGCACACACATTTTCTATACATTTTTGCCAAGTAAGCCAAAGTTCCAACCAGGCTGTGTGATGTGCGGTTAGCAGTGATTCAGTGGGCTGCTGTTACACGCTAAAAATAACTGCCACCAGAACACGCGAGCAGCGTCCAGCCCAGGACACAGCATCAGCCTCTGAAATATTTGTGTTCTCACTACTTTGACCTGTTCTCAACTTTTTTTAACTATGACTTAACAATTTGGGCTCCAGTACGCTCAGTGTCTTATTCACTAAGAATGATTACAGCCGCTAAAACTCCAAAATGTTTATCATGTTCTCCTACAATCTGCTCAGGTTACAAAGCATGCTTGAATGATATCACAAAAAGTGGTCGAGCTCCAATAGTTTGCCTAGTTTGATGTCTGAGATTTGCAAATGAGTCAAAAATACCAAATACACTGTGACGGCCCCTCTGCAGTGATTCATTAGGTGGTGCTTGCTTTCTGTAGCTGTCTCTGTTCTGATCAGGAGACACACTTGGGCCTGGTGTTCCTCATGCTTCAGTCAGAGCAGCAGTCTTTAGAGAGAGAAAGTCTTTTTACAACACAGCTAGTGGTGGGATCATTACACAGAGGAGTTGAGCATCTTTATCTGACATCTCTGAGCTCACTGATGGAGACGTCATGAGCCAGAGTTTGACGTGCTCTCTGACTCGGAGCCACATGTGCTCTGTGAGCTGCAGCTCTGCACACACGTGGTTTGATTTAGAGCAGACAGATTTCAAAGGAGCCGTGTCCTTTCATATCACCAAACGTAACCACGTCTGCAGGAAGCTTTCCTTCGAGTTACATGTGAGTCTGGTCCTGGTGCTGATCAAGCTCGGTGTATCAGGAGTCGGTCCATGTGGCGTTCAGCTCCGCTCCGTTTACAGCACATGATGCAATCCCCAAACCATGTCAGCGCGAGCTCAGACCAATCAGGTGTGTGGTCTCGTGGTCTGGCCCGAGTCGTCTAGTATGTGCATTCAGAAAATATAATGTTAAACATTGTTTTAAACTGTCTGTAACTTCAGTTAAGATTTAAGATCGTCAGCCTTTTTATGCCCTGTAAGTGAGTCTGTGAGAGGACGTTGGTGTTGTGAAGCACACAGTTTAATCTTCATGTCTCTAACCATGCTGGGAGCCTTTTTAACCCCTGATAAATGTGAACTTCTTAAATAACTGAACTCTAACTTATCTGATACATGTTTTGTGTTCCCAGGTGGATTTCAGAAGCACAGGACAAGACACCGTCCTTCCTCAACATTTCATTGATGAGACCAAGACATCTCAGGGTTACTTTGGGGCCCAGCAGGGTCCTGCCTCTTCATCCAGAGAGTACCAAAGTACCAACGAGCATGCTGTCACCTTTTACACGAGGACATCAGAGACGGAGCAGGAGAGAATGAAGACTCTGAAATGTGATATGAGAGCAGGCAGAAAGCTCCCTGATGCTCTCCTCCTGCCGGCTACCTGACACCAGTCCTGGCCCTTAAACCCTTCTGTTGGCACGTTTCATCAACCTTGTAGACATTCTGTTTGTGTAATTGTAAAGTGGAATACTTGAAATATTGGAGTATCCACTTCTTTGAAGTATGCATAGACTTGATTTGTAAAAATGTAATTTTGAGTTTTACCATGAAAAGCAGTTCAGTCATCATCAGAGTTTCCTTTCTGAATGGTTGGGATTTTATTTGTTATATTGTAATGTACAGATGTTCACATCTGGTTGGATAGATTACTAGCTTGTCGTGGGGTTTGTCCCTTTAAAACAAAGATAGTTTTTATATAAGAACATTAAAATAAAAAAGTCTCTCCCACATTGTTTACAGAGCGAGCTTTATGTAATAAAGAATCTTACCAGGAATCTTCGGCATGTTTTCCAGCTTGTGATTGTTTCATTGATTGAATGGTACATAAGAAGTCGTGGGACGATTTATTCCACAGTGTGAAATCAAGTTGTTCTCTAAATTACCATATTGTTTTTCAAAGATCAGGAACAAAAGGATCTGTTCTATGTTCCACCATGATGATATTTGGTCCAAAAGGTGTCCGAATTAGTGATTGTACTTCTGAGTTGGTAGAGGGGGTAAAGTGGGGCTGATTACCCAGGGCCCCGATGGAGGACGGCACCCCGATAGAGGATGGGACCCCGATGGAGGACGGAACCCCTATGAAGGATGGGACCCCAATGGAAGATGGGACCCCGATTGAGGACAGGGCCTTATAAGTTGGACATTGGCAACGCTGTTACACCACGCCATTATTTTATAATAAATAGTAACACAGTACATCAGAGTGTGACTATTAAAAGTGATAGGGGCGACTGTGGCTCAGTTGGTAGAGTCGTCGCCTCTCAACTGGAAGGTCGAGGGTTTGATTCCCAACTGGGCAACATGTCCGATGTGTCCTTGGGCAAGATGCTTAACCCTGAATTGCTCCCGCTGCTTCGGTGGCGGTGTACACAAGCCTTCACAGCGACCATCAGGGTGTGAATGAGTGGATATGACATGCAGTGTAAAAGCGCTTTGAGTACTCTGAACTCATTTACCATTTACAGGTAACACTGGGATGTATAAGTCTAAATGCTACAAAAACAATGTCAACGTTGGGGTTTACAAGTCCTAAATAGGCATTGTTTGGATTTGTATGTAAGTTGTACGAAATCACTGGCAATGCTAGGATCTGTGCGTTGGACTGCACGAACACACAAATGACAGGCGTTCCTGCACGAGCTCGCATTCTTGAGTGCACGCACAGATCCCAGCATTGCTTGTTGCTGTACAAGGATGACAGTTTGCAGGAGTTTCCTTGCAATTTTCTACTGAAAAAGGATTGAAGGATGAAAAGGTGTATGACGTGAATAACAACCTGAATGAAAGAAAAGGATTGTAATGAATTGGTTAGGAGAGAAAATATTTATTGGTTAAAATATCTTTTCACAGATACAAAGATTGAGTTGTTGATTTGCTTTTCATGCACTTACACTGTACAACAGTGGATCCTGGTGGAAAACATGGTCTGTTCTGTCAGTGGTGAGATGTCCGATAGTCTGCACTGTAGTGATTGTGTGTTATAAAATAAATTAGTAACGTCATATTACATCTCTATCACCGAGATCTCAGTGCAAACGCCATCGTAGCTGAAAGATCCGTGTAAGTACCGACAAGGTGATGCACAGTTAAAAAAAGTACAATAAAAAGAAAAAAAAGCCCAGTTTGAGTTTCATCCTAAAGTTTGGTATTTGTGGAGCTACATTGGCATTAATATAACTGACTAAATATTAGTCCAGATCTCTACGCAGTCTTCTACAAACTCACATTTTCATCGTGACACAGTTAGCTTGATTTACAGTACTAAATATCTATTTCTCAAGCAGCAACGCTTACATCGAGTCCGACAAACATCCTAAGAATCATTCACTCAAATATGGAAACAGAAATCATTCGACTGCTTTTCTTAACCGCCGACAAGATATAAAAAGAGATCGCACTTGTCCAATCAATGACAGTAATAAAGCCTTTCTTTACGGGGACCCACACACACATCCCCCCCTCAAAAAACACAATACACCAATTGAAACATAACAGCACATAAATTCAAAGTTTACCAGGAAACAACAGTCCTCACTGACTTTTACAAAACTGCTCATAAATATACAGTTTGTGGGGCGCTCATGTCGGATGTTTCTATTGGACAGTAGTCAGTTCTTCCTCTTAGTGGTACGAGTCCCACATAAGCCAAGCAATAAATACTCAACTGTTACAACGAACCTCCAGAAACTCTCCCAGGTTCAGCCCGTCTCTGTTTGGGACCCAGATTAGAATAAAAACAGAGAGCTGGGATCCGATCATAATGAAGTGAAAACTAAAGAAAATGCAGTGTTAACACAGAGATGTGTGCGTTCAGTCAACGTCATCACCCTCACTAGTGTGCACCAGAATGACTCATCAGTTAAACCAATGATTCATATTTTGACATGTTGGCCCTCCATGCTGGTCAAATGTTGTGTTCAAGCTGCCACATAGCCTTCCTCCACTAGTCGGGGCTGTAGCCATAGACTGTCTGTAGCTCCGGTTAATGAGCCTACCCTCCTCGCTCTACTACCTGGATGTAAACAAGCACAGTGAACAGATAGCATGTTGTAGGCGCAGAGCGGTTTGTCATCAGTATAAAGATTTATAAAATGGAGATAAAGTTGTATGTCGGCTGTGTCAGGTTGAACTGCAATATGGACCATAGTGATGAGTGACCACATTCAGCTCAGACATGTGGACGTTAACCTGCACGGAGGACTGAAGGCTGGCTATGCTAGCAATGCTAACGTTAGCCTCACTCGTTTATCCACAGACAGTTTGAAAATTGTGCAAGATGTTAAACAAATGTAATACCTTTAGACAAGTTATCTAGTCTGGTTTTCAGTTGTTTAAATTCTATTTTTGAGTCACCGGTAACATCCCTACTTTATTAGACAAACTTTACATGTGGCCCGACTCCATCCAACTGTCTTTACACCCAAACATCTTCAGCTCTCCTTGACAGCCGGCTTCATTTGTTAATTTCATCCATGAGACACAAAGTTTTAGACATGCTCTAGTATTTAACATCCTGGGCCTTATCTGAGGGTCCTAATGACTTATAGGTACAACAATGTCACCAATAGATTTCTTCATCCTGCAACAGGTAAACAGGTTGTAATGTCTGCAACAAAGTTGTTGTTTTTATTTGATTTGACCTTTATTTAACCAGGCAGGTCATTAAGAACAAATTCTTATTTACAAAGACGGTTGTTGTTGTTTTTGTCCCTGACAGGCTCCGGTTGTTATTCTATATAAGTCTAATTTATTATTATTCTAAGTGTGTGACAACATTACAGAAAGGATCCCTGCAGAGAGAGAGCTTTTTGTTTTGAACCACAAACAGCTGTTACATCACTCTCTACAAACACAGCACGCTACAAACACAGATTTAAACTCACAGGACATGCTGCTCTAAACGGGGAAGTTTGAAGTCTTGTTGTGTCCTATCAGAGCAAACCGACTGAAACGAGTGTCATACAGACATGAACTAAGTGAGACATGAAGGCAGCAGTTCTTCTTGATGCTCTGTGAGTTTAAATTGTTGTTTTTGTCATTGAAGTCTGGAAGCTTGTTAACAATAATGATTTGACTCTAACATGGGTAACGTTGTCAGATACTTAGGAAAGCTTTTCTTAGTGTGTCAGGGGGAAAGGAGCTTTGATTGGTTCTCCCACAGGGAAGTGTGCAGCCGTCACTTCCTGTCTCTGCTGCAGCCTTCACTTCCTGTCTCTGATGAGACTTCTTGAACATGTTAGTTTACTGTAAAGGCACAATGCTCAGTGATCAACAGTCACACAGAGGAGTGTGTGTGAACAAGCATCAGGTGAGAAGGCACATTTGATCTGCTCCGATATTCAAAGAGACACAGAAGGAGAAGGCACCCTGTTTCCATGTGACACACACACACACACACACACACACACGCACCTCAAGATCTGAGCTCTGACAGATGTTGTCTCCAGAAGCAAGAAGGAAAATATAAGAGAGTAAGAAGAAAATTCTTTTTTTTTTTAATGGAGACTGAACCAGATTGTTGTTGTAGTTGTTATTGTTGTTGTTGACCTAACGCTGTCCTCTCTCCTCCCCTCTGTGTCTGTGAGTGACTCAACTAAATTGAAAGTCATTGAACAGATATCTGCAGCTTGTACCTTTGACAGTGTTACAGGTTTTAATGTCTCTTTGATCCACTAAGAGTCTCTACGCTGACAGTGATCGAGGTTAGCCCCTGCCCCTTTAACAAGTGATCCTCGGGCTGCAGGCAGGCGGAGGACGAGGAGGCCACGTGGGACTCACACGTCCAGGTCGTCTGGTCTGGCTCGGCTGCTCATGCGGCTGCTGGCCCGGCTGCAGGGCCGAGGGTCCATCAGCGCCAGAGGCTGCAGCTCATGTCCCGCAGACGAGGACAGTTTCTTGTGCTCCACGGTGTCATCGGGGAAGTCGAAGGCCTGTGCATGGGAGTTTGAAATGGTGCTCCCGCCGCCGGTCTGGCCCAGCCGGTTCTGCTCGGTGGAGTAGTTGGCCCAGTTCTGCTCGGTGGCCTGCTTGTTGTAGTTACGACACGAGCCGGTTCCTCGCTCCCCTGTGGCCAGCTTGTAGCCCGGGGGGGACATGGGGGAGAGCGGGGCGGTGGGGGAGGAGCAGCCGTTGTAGAAGGCGTACTTGGCAGCAGACAAGTCTTTAGGGGTCGGGCTTAATGTGCCCGCGCTGGGGTAGAGCGTGGGCGGCTGCTTGCCCTTGACGCGGTCTTTGATCCTCTTGAAGAAGACATAGAAGAGCTCGATGACGTTGAGCAGCAGAGACACCAGAGACACCACCAGCATGAAGATGATGAAGACCGTCTTCTCTGTGGGCCGGGACAGGAAGCAGTCCACCCTGTGGGGGCACGGGTCCCGCTCGCACGTGTACACCGCCGACAGGCTGAAGCCGTAGATGTACCACTGGATGACCAGGAAGCCCACCTCGAACATGGACTTGAAGAAGATGCTGAAGATGTATGTTCTGAGCAGAGCGCCCTTCATCTTCACTTTGCCGTGCTCCTCGATGCCGTACTTAAACTTTTTCATCTCCAGCTTCTTCAACGGGATGTCCACGTCACCGCCGTCGTTCTGCACCGCTTTGAGCTCCTCCTCCTTCCTGTTGAACTTCTGCTCCTTCCTGTTCAGGTAGAAGACGTGAGCCAGGTAGAGCAGGGTGGGTGTGGACACGAAGATGATCTGCAGCACCCAGAAGCGGACATGAGAGATGGGGAAGGATTTGTCGTAGCAGACGTTCTCGCAGCCCGGCTGCTGCGTGTTGCATTTGAAGGCCGACTGCTCGTCTCCCCACGCCGACTCCACCGCCGTACCCAGGACCAGGATCCTGAAGATGAAGAGGACCGACAGCCACACCTTCCCCCCGGCTGTGGAGTACGCCTGGACTTTGTCCAGCAGACGACCCAGGGCGCTCCAGTCGCCCATGGTGAGAGAGCGTTAGCCTGTGAAGGAGAAGATATGAAACGTGTTAAAGAACAATACACAGAAAGATTTAAACAAATGGAGTTCAACATCCTCTGCATTCCTCTCCTCTAGGATTAAACAACATCCTGATTAAAGGAGACAAAACTCTTCCTTTCATGACGTAAAACTCCACTTAATCCAATTAGTGAGCTCAGAAACACATTTCTGTCCGTTTAACACTTCAGAGCCCAAACACCAAGTGACTCATTAAAAGAAAAGTCAACAAGCTTCAAGGTCATCTTCAATTCAAAACACAACACAGTATATCATCCACACAAACATGAACCCTTCACAGTCTGCAACCAGGACCACCTGAACACATCAAATATGAACTCTGCACAACCTGTGTTACACATCCAGTTAGAATCAAACGTCTGACGCAGAGTAAATGTTAACAATAAACTGAAAAATAAGTTTATCTGAAACTATTGTGAATGAAGAAACTTCACCTAAATACTCTAAACTCTGCAGACGTTCTTTAAATCGCTGCAGACGTCATATTTAAGAGATATACAAGATGACGGGGGGGGGGGGGGGTGTGATGCCTTCATATGTAATGAGACATATTCACTGAGTCTGTGTCCTGGCAGCTTCACATCGTCCTCAGTGTCAGCTGCTTTCTGTCGCACGCTCTCAGCGCCCTCACTTTAAAATAGTTTACCCTTTGGAACGTGCAGTGGAAGTGGTGGTGTGGGGGCCGGGGGGGGAGTGTTTTCTTGGTGAAATTTATTTGAATAAAGTAAAATAATCAGCACATATTAAAACAAACCAAAGGCACACTACTAAGAGAAGCAAAAAGCAGAATGTTTGTAACCTAGCAACAATAAGCGGCGGCTCTGAAAGCGAGGTTGTTAACGGACACAGAGCCTGAACAAAGAGTGGAAAACAACTTTCTAGAGAGTAGAACAGAGAATGTAGCTGCTTTATTACCAACATCGTGATGTTACATGATATTAACGTCATCACCACCAGGAGAACATGTGTCTGTGTTCACACATGCAGCTCAACCTGAAACATTTAGGTGTGTGTGTGTGTGTGTGTGTGTGTGTGTATGCAGTAACATTCATGTTCAGGAAACATGTTATGATATTCATTCTGAGAAGACCGACTGCTACAAAAAGACCACGTTTTAAAGAGTTCTCTTGAACCGAAGCGCACAGGAGGAGGGGGAGGAGGGGGTGAAGGGAGGATGGGGGATGATGGGGGGGGGGGGGGGGGGGGGATGGGTGAGGATGGGTGAGAAGGGGGAGGATGGGTGAGGAGGGGGAGGATGGGTGAGGAGGGGAGGATGGGTAAGGAGGGTGAGGATGGGTGAGGATGGGTGAGAAGGGGAGGATGGGTGAGGAGGGGGAGGATGGGTGAGGATGGGCGAGGAGGGGAGGAGGGGGGAGGAGCCCAAAGCTGCAGCGTCAGAGAGAAGCAGAAACCTCCTGAATGATGTGGCTCAGCAGCTCAGAGGTTTCTATCAAAGATCCTTGCTGTGTCTGATTCCTGTGTGTGTCTGTGTGTGTGTGTGTGCGTGTGTGTGCGTGTGTGTGTGTGTGTGTGTGTGTGTGTGTGTGTGTGTGTGAGCAGCAGGAAGCAGGACTTCTTTCCTGCAGAGCGTTTCCTCTGCACACAGACAATCAGCTGTCCTGTTGAGTCACTCTGCAGCTCATGAACTAGCGCCCCCTGTGGCCAAAGTCAACCATGATTCCTACCGTTACAACGCTTTCATCTTCCTGTGGTTCTGTTTGATCTGAAACGTGAAATAAATCTTTGACATCTTCAGTGGTCATACTTTGAAAACATATTTCTTTCTGTTCTGATCTGTGGGACATTGGTCGATCTGAAGGTGGTAACATGCAGAGCTCCAGCTGGAGATTATCATGGTTTGATTTGAAATAAAAAACTTCACATATACTATGGAAGCCCAGAGAGCCCGGACATTTAGTAGTTTTCCTGTTTTTATTTCATTTACATTTCATGTGTTTTCTGGAGATCTCTGATCATATACCACAGCGTAACAACACTGATTAACTCGAGACCTCAAGGAAAACATCTACAAAAACGCTTCATTTAAATCAGTTAATTAACAATATTTACATCAAGGTTCTCATTTTCAGATATTTAAAGATGTTTGTAAAGCACATCAAAGATGAGGACTACACACTAAAGCGTAAACCTTTAAAAATGTTTCTTCAGATTTGTTCAAATCCAAATGTTTTCTGAAATTATTCTTATTTCAAAATAAAAGTCAAAAGGTTGACGCAGAGTTCAGCTCCCGATGATGTGAAACTTGATTGTACTGGGGCCACGTTTCCACACACATATTAATCACTGATGTAGTCTTGTTATCGTAGGCTGCATGAATATGTGGAAAGTTTTGTTAGATGAGCAGCAGATCGGTGGTTAGAGTTTAAAGTCTTTGAGGACGAGTCTTTGAGGACGAGTCTTTGAGGACTCTGCGTCCCCAACAACATGAACTCCACCAAGAAATAGAGACAAAGCTCAGACTCATTCCTGATTTTATCTGGAGGCCGTTTGATCTGAGAGGACCACAGAGAGAGGAGCAGTGTGAGGAGGACCACAGAGAGAGGAGCAGTGTGAGGAGGACCACAGAGAGAGGAGCAGTGTGAGGAGGACCACAGAGAGAGGAGCAGTGTGAGGAGGCCTAAAGAGGAGCAGAGGATCTGACCTCCTGTTACAATGCAGATCTTACAATAATAATTCAGATGTCATGTCTCTCACACACACACACACACACACACACACACACACACACACACACATCAGACTCAGAGCATCCCGCCACTTTCTACATGAACGAGTTCGTCTGCGGAAAATGACCAGGACAGAGCAGAACAATGGAGTCCAGCACAAAGGGACACACACACACGCACACAAACACACACACACACACACACACACACACACACACACACACACACACACACACACACACACTCACACACACACACACACACACTCTCACACACACACACACACACACACACAGACACACACACACACACACAGCAGGGAGGACGCTTCCTGCTGTCTGAGCGGGTTTGAATCAGAGCAGTTCGTTATTAAGGAGGAAAATAAAGGTCACTCTTTTTCTCTGCTCCTCTCATCCAACTTCAACTGAACCCAAAGTTTTCTAACTGCAGGAAACTTGTGAGAGTGAGAGCTGCACAGCCCGGAGCGCACCGGACCGGGGCTCTGAAGGACTCTACCGGGACTCTGACTGATCTACCGGGGCTCTGAAGGTGCTCTACCGGGGCTGTGGGAGCTCAGGCGGGCTCTGACGGGAATTACCGGAGCTCTGTGCGCGTAAAAAAAAAAGGGGGAAAGTTATAAAGAGAAAGTTTGACTCACCTGGAAAGTTTGAGAGGAGGAGAAGAAGAAGTAGAGGGTCCGCCTGTCTCTCTCTTTCTCTCTCTCTCTCTCTGTCGCTCGCTCTCTGTGCTGGAACTCAAATCCAAAGTTCGGGACCAGGAGGGAAACTGAGCTCAACATCTCAAAGCTCCTTATAAGAGTCCGGTCAGAGGAGCGGTCACATGACCTCTACGTCATCACCAACCTGAGCCGCCTGTCTGCCTCTTTTCTGTCTGTCTCTCTGTACGCCCCGCACACACACACACACACACACACACACACACACACACAGGCAGAGAGACAGGAAGACAGTCAGCGCAGAAGTTGACTTCACTTTTTCTCCTCCTCTCAAACTTTTCAGGAGTTTTTAGAGTCTCCGATGTGACGTCAGAGCTCTTTAAAGAAGAGTCTTCAAAGACAAACTTAAAGGGTTCAGGTCTGTAGCGCAGGAGGGGAGACCAGGGACGCCTTTAACATATTACTGCACATGCTCAGTTAGATCGTTTAGTTCCCAGGAGGACAACAGACACTTCACAACATCTGCTGCTGCATTAAGTCTAAACAAATTCATTTAAAGTTCATTCTAAGTTTTGAGCAACTTGTACATGAAAGTCAAATAAACACAGAGAAGTACATACACAACATTAGAAACATTATTATTATTATTATTGAAGTTTTGGAGAGATATTTTCTCTTCCTGTCCTCGACCTTTGTAGAGATGAGTCTGAACATTTTAAGTAATGTGCAAACAGAGCACTAAAGAGGGGCTTAAGGCTTTTTTAACTCACAGAACAAACCTCATAAATATGACGCTGGATTATTTTCATAAAGGTGACTCTGACGTGTCTGGAAGTGGCGAAGAAGCTTCATTTCTAAAATGTGTTTAGGTTGTGTTGAAACAGTTCGGTGCAGAGTGGTTTGACTTCTTCACTTCAAATCAATCTGATGAACTTCATAATGTCATAATAAATGTCCAGACTTCTTATCTGCTTTAAAAGAACGTATACAAAGTTATACAGATGTTTTATTTCTGTATACATTTTCTTTATATCATCAATCAATAATTATTAGTAAAGCATCAATTCATAACACGAGAGATGCTTTACTAAAGATCAGATGTGATAATATGAAGGAAGGATTTCTCCTTTGTGTTCCTCTAGTTCCTGTTGTCCACTCTTCCTCTCCGCTGAGGTCGGAGATCAGAGCAGGCCGTGTATGAATGAGGATGGCGGTGGTTGTTAACAGTAACAACATATAAATCTATTTTAGGATGATTTACAGACGGAGACTTCTGTCCGTATTTCTGCACGTTTTCTGGAAGCTTATGAAAAAGATGTAAATGTTGGGTCAGCATAAACAGAGTAGCCAACAGTGTTATGAACTATACACATGATGTTCTCTCGAGCACAGGTGACAACAGAACAGCTGGGCGGAGATCGAACAAGAACATGAAGGGCGGCTGAGTGAAGGTCTGATAGCGCCCTCCAGTGGATGGAACAGCCATCCAAGCGTAAAGGAGACATGGGAGTGTATGTGTGCTGATGGTTATATCGTTTATAACAAATGTATACATGTCATACATAAAGGAAGGAGAAATGAAGTTTAACTCTTAAGGGACTCAAAAAAAGATATTTGATGGAGGTCACAATTAAAAATACTTCAAATTTCACACATTGTCTTAAGAGCAGAAATACATAAGACGCCATCTTGTGTTACTTTTTTACATCAGTAATATGTGTTTTTGTGAGCCGGAGGGTGTGCAGGACTCATTCCTCTCTTATGCACCTTATGAAATAGATGTGCAAAGTACTTTATTTATTTCTCATGCATTAACTAATTCAAATGCCCTACCCACATGAATAGAAATCTACCAGAAGCCTGCAGGAAACAGCCCCAAATATGTGATTTGAACTTAAGTCCCTCCTCTTTCCAAGCAAGTAGCCAATCATTTTTAAGGGTTTTGGGACGGTAACTAGATTAAGAGGGGGGCCCATGCCAACCCACTGGAAATGCCCCTGGAAAGATTCCTGGATACACCCCTCGATACCTACCTGGACACGCCTCTGGACACGCCCCTGTTTTAACAATTATTCACGCGCCATACAGACCTCACAGTCGGAGACTTCACCTGTCACAGGTGACTGTTTTAAATCACAGTATTTACTGATACAACATATTCTATCAAACTTTGATTTTAACAGTAAAATCTTCTTCTTCAAAGTGAAACCTGACATTAATTATTAATGATTGATTAATAATATTTTTTTAAAGTATTTACAGCAGACTCTGTGCAGCGCCTCCATCACTGGCTTATATGTTTATATTATTATTCGGTTGTGCTTAAAGTCCTGATTTTGATTTAATCTGGACGTTTTATTTTATTTATTTATAAATCTGTATGGTTATGAAACCTTAAAGGGCCGGATCGGATCATAAAAAAGATAATTAAAAGTAATCTTATTATTTATCTCTAAACCTTCCTGAAGTCAAACTTGTTGATTAAACCGCTCACACTGCTCTGAAGAAGAAGAAGAAGAAGACAGCTCCACCTGGTGGTGGAGAGGATGCAGTGCAGCTAAATATCTGCTCTGTTATGTTACAAATAGACTGCACACGAGGGTTATCCAAGCAGTTAGATATGATTCTAGTAAAAAATAAAACGATGTAAATACCAGTTTCTTGTTACCACGGCAACAAGAATAGCACTCCTAGACTCCCAATGTTGCAGCAAACTCCTGCACGCTGTCTACATTGCAAAAAACAATGTTGGAAACATTTGAGCTAGAGGCTGTAGCTCTAGTATGATCACATCTTTATCAGAGTTTATTTCAGTGTTTTATGTTAACCTACTTATACTCTGATAAACATTAGATTGAAAACCATACAGGAAGATTAAACTCATTACATTAACAGTCTGACACACTGTAACTTGTGTTGTCTGTTATTATTTATGTGATATGTAACCATGGTTACATGAACTTCCTGTTTCAACAGAAGGTGAAGGAAGTACATCCTCTGTAAAAAAAAAAAAAGTAGTGTCACTTTATTCAGCAATGGGGGACAGTATGTATGATGCTGAGTCATGTAAGGGGACAGTATGTATGATGCAGAGTCATGTAAGGGGGGACAGTATGTATGATGCAGAGTCATGTAAGGGGACAGTATGTATGATGCTGAGTCATGTAAGGGGACAGTATGTATGATGTAGAGTCATGTAAGGGGACAGTATGTATGATGCTGAGTCATGTAAGGGGGGACAGTATGTATGACGCAGAGTCATGTAAGGGGACAGTATGTATGATGCAGAGTCATGTAAGGGGGAACATTATGTATGACGCTGAGTCATGTAAGGGGACAGTATGTATGATGGTGAGTCATGTAAGGGGGGACAGTATGTATGATGGTGAGTCATGTAAGGGGACAGTATGTATGATGCAAAGTCATGTAAGGGGACAGTATGTATGATGGTGAGTCATGTAAGGGGGGACAATATACTGTGTCACATACACACCTCACACTGTGTCACATACACACCTCACACTGTGTCACATACACACCTCATTCTGTGTCACATACATACATACATGCATACAAACAAACATACATACATACATACATACACACATACAAACATACATACACACATACATACATACATACAAACATACATACACACATACAAACATACATACATACATACATACACACATACAAACATACATACACACATACATACATACATACAAACATACACACATACATACATACATACATACATACATACATACATACATACATACATACATACAAACATACATACACACATACATACATACATACATACATACAAACATACATACAAACATACATACATACATACATACACACATACAAACATACATACACACATACATACATACATACATACATACATACATACATACGTACATACATACATGAATGGGATTAGTTACTTCTGATGGATGATACTACATAGCAATCACTAACATCAGTGTGTGAATGGTGTGAAAGGTGTGAATGGGTGGGTGTGACCTGCGGTGTAAAAGCGCTTTGAGTAGTCAGAAGACTAGAAAAGTGCTATATAAGCTCAAGTCCATTTACCATTTAGCATTTACATACATACACACCATAGGCTGTAAAAATAATGGACGGGACAAAGTCCCCGGTCTAGTGAAGCTTTTAATTTTTTTCCAAACCTAAACTCTGCTGTGATCATTAGTTATTATCACCCTACATTGTGTTCAAGTGCTCATTTTTCTGTGAAGTTTGTTTTAAATAACTTATTTGAGGTTGAAAAACTGAATTTTACGTCATATTTGACGATGATTGACAGCCGCCGATCTTGCGTAGCTCTCTCTGTGAATAGCAAAAGTTACGTAGTGAAGGAAAGCCAAGACGCCATTGAATTTTTCCGTTCAGTTTTTTCGTCTTTTTTGAGCTGGAAAAATTAGTTGTTCTGCAGTAAACTGTTCTAACCGACCTGTGGGAGCTAAGGGATCTTTGCAGTTTTTTCAGTAAGTAAAAAAGTGTGATTTATGTGTCATTGTTTGGTTAAAGTCGTTATCTAGCTAGCTAATACATAAGCAGTCTAAAGTTAGCTGAAATGTTGTAAAGCTAGGTTACTTATCTGGCATGATTTATCTTTTTATTTTATTTTATTAAATGAGCAAACCTAATAACTGACATGCTATGTTTCTTGATATTGTTATATCATTATTGTGATTGAAATTGTATTTAAAACCAAGAATCGCAATATAAAATCCGCTCATAGATGCGGTTCATTGACTGTACAGTTATTTTACAGCAAAAATAAATACGTCTGGTAAGGTCTCAAAAAAGTATGTAGGGCAAAAACAAAGTCACATAATTTTTACTAATGTGTACATGTTTACAGTCTGAGTGATAAGTGGGCTATACCGAGAGTAACAAGTTTTACTTTCACCGTTCAGGCTGAAATTCATAGTACTATATATGAGGGTAGAATATTTCTCTATGTATCCAGATAAAACTAAAGGTAAGATCTGATTTAATATAACTGTTACTAATTTAAGAGACTAACCGAAACGTGAACACAAACATCAACAACCTGCGGTGGTGTAATGTAATATTAACCGAGCATCATGCTGCTTAAACTGATAAATG